TACGTATATAATAACGTAGATTTATTATAATCCATATCACGAACGCGCATACTCGTGGACTTATACTAATCACAAGATTATAAACTCAATATTATATACAAATAGACGTACAAGTAAAACACACGATTGCACGATTCCAAGTACACTTGCAATAGATAATGCATAACAGTTCACTAATGACAGCACAAGAAGTACATAGTAGATTAAACAACGTCAAATACTTCCAAAGAGAATGTACTGCTCTGAAAAATGGTTTGCTTATTAATGGGACGTTCTCAAATATTATACCAGCATAAAGGCTCAGTGTACGTCTACCAGAACATGTGAAAATCGGTTGGAATATCGGCATAAAATACTGTAGGGTAACGGAAAACTATATCCTGTATCCCCGCACTGAGAACCGTACGCGTTATTCCAAAGACGCACCAAGCAAAATCTAATTTATATATCCATCTATATCTATCTATCGATATTATTGTGTACATCGTGTATAATTACATGTTAATGCAGTATCAGTTGATATAACGCGCGGACAACGGAGTTGCTCGTTATTCAAAGCGTAATAAAAGGCAGTGTCTATATCGAGCCGCGTATATATCTATACATCTATCTATCTACCCATCCATCTAGCCATTTACTTATCCATCTATCTACCTAACTACTTATCCGTCCATCTATGTTTCTAAGCACAGCTAACATCACTGGACAGCATTGTTACTACCAACACGCACACTAATAAGTTAATTAATCATCATTAGTTAATTACATTAATTAAATAATAAATAACGACAGCAAAGCAAGTAAATATAACTGACGTCACATCGTTTTCAGAATACATAAGATCATGACGTTTCATCCCTGGAATGTAATCGGCTCATGGACGTAAATATTAAAAAAGTCGGAGAAGCTGTCTATATATCGCAGAAACGTGTTCAGCTAATACGCTGGTTCTTTGTTTGCAATAGAATAGTATTTCCGAAGACGAGCTAGCTTCATGCGTCTACGTGTAACATCGGTGTGTGGTGTCCTTGTATCGTGCCCTGGCGCAGTGGTTATAGCACTAGAATCGTTTGCATGAAAGCCTCTCGACGTGTTCATGTCGCCGCTGCCGTCGGCACGCGTTCATCCGTTTACAACGATTATGATTGGCGCACTGGAAAATAAATACCACTCTGAGCTGTAATTTAGATATGTATATCTATATAATATAAATACTATGGATTGTCAAAGTTTCGAGGCAGTATAAAAAAAATTCAACTACAAATACACAGAGACCAGATTCTGTTCACGTGTCTATTGACGCAAAAGTGGAGATAAAGAGACACTCACCTATGGCTCGTGTTTGTTGATCTTGTTGAGTACGCTGGATATACCGACCAGCGCGAGACCGACCATCGTCAGCGCCACGCCCACCCAGTGCATGCACCCACTGCGGTGACTGGGATGTAGGGGGAGGGTAACTTCCAGCAGTACATAGGTAGGCAGACCAACACTCATTAGATCAAGCGTGTCCGATCACCGAGGAACGATAAAGCTGTCAACTCTGAAACGGATATTGCTAAGAAAAAATAAACAAAACTTAAAAGTTGTGAACTAATGAAATAGCTAAAACCCTAATATTCATCACTCAATATCTATTACGGTATACATAATTATCATCCTATAACCATGATGGGGTAGGACAACATTCCCACAAAAAATTGTTACATTGAGTAACATTTATTTCATAACTCAATTATAGATTGAATATTCACCATAATTTCTATGGAAAACAATGCATAACGGAATCCATAACTTGTAGTACACAAGTAAAAATGAAACGGAATGCAATGTTAATGATTTTTCACCAACAAAGGGCCAATACTATTCAAGCAGTGTTAATGTTCGCAGAAATCAATGATTTGCCATAAAACACATCTGCCAGCAAGATAGCAGGGCATTGGTCAAGACAAAGATTTACTCAACTTGCTGTGATGAGGACTCCAGCCTTTTATTAAAAAGGTTCTTTGAAACTCTGTAACAGAAATATATAAAACCGTAATGACACGTACGCTCCATATAGAATCCACCGATACACAGATACTGAGTGACAACAATAGCTTAGTCTATAAAACATTCTATGTACGACTGAAATCCAATTTAGAGTACGTTTACATATTAGACTTAGACGAAATGGCTATGAAACTAAACGCGGTTGTATCGTGGCCACCCAGGGAGAATGCCGATAGAGCGGATTTACTCTGAGTACGTACAGGGTCGAAGGCACTGTAGACAAGCAGACCGACTCCCCACACAACGATGGTCCTGCAGGCATCCACGAGGGATCGATGCACCGCTGAAGCAACAAAAGAACACCCGTGCTTTAGCATGAGCAGGAAACAACATAATAATACATAATGCGATATAATAATAACATAAAACACGATACATAGAAAACATATAAATAATATGATAAATGAATAACATAGATCAGTACAACTGGTACTGTGACAGTTATAAAAATGCACTGATCCTCAAGTGACCAGAAGTCATACCCGTCATCGACTTTGTCACGGCAAGACCACCAAAGAAGTTGTAGAAGGCGATGGACATCAGGTAGACAGGGAGACGACAAGCAGCTTGAGATCGTTGCCGATCTGGTAGAGAGCGTCCAAGCTGTTCTCGTAGTTGCCATTGATGTCGTTGCCAGGAATGAAGAACATGGCCGGTAGGACGACCTTCAAAGTGCGCAAAAAACCACAGATGTATCAGGAGCGCGTAACAAAAGAATACGTTGTGTTGAGTATGGCTATTAATATTGTTTTATGAATTGTTTGACACATCAGTTTGTAATCCCATGCTGCCACCTGGTGGCTGGGATGGTGTCAGCCCAGTTGTGCTGTCTTCTTGTTGAGTATGAAACAAACTAGGTCCACCATTATTTTTGGTTACTCTCAAATTCAGTTGTGTGTTGGAGTTGTGTGTTAAAACGACAAAATATCTCCATATGTCTTCCCAACGAGGTTGCTGCGTGGACACGTTGTGTCATTATGCACCAGCGAGTTATCCATTTTATCACGTACTCCTCATCACTCTTATTTGTAATATACTCCTGAGTATTTCTATTATTATGTACTACTGAGTATTTCTTTTATTATGTACACCCGAGTATTCTATCTATCTATCTATCTATCTTTCTCTCTATCTCTATCTCTATCGCTATCTCTCTCTTTCTCTCTTACCATGTTCTCCCGATTACGCTCTTTGTACTCCAGAACACACATGTATAGAACTCCACGAGAACTCTATACGAATATTCATGGGAACTCTCAGCAGTGAAACATTTCTTGCTCAAATTATATTACAGCACTGTTAACTAATGAGCCTAGTTACTAACTATACTACTTTTAGGAGTGTAGGCCCACTCACACACTGTTACTCAAGCCAACTGGTTACGTGAAAACCCACCTGGGTCAGAAATGCTGACCCAACAACTTCTGATTCATGACTCACCAAACTCAAGATGAAAAATCAAAATGTTCCTTCCACTCCAACAACCTAAAATGGAAATTCCATCAAAGTTTTAATGACTCACAAAAATCAACAAACACATCTACTTACGGCTGCTGCATAGAAATTAATTTGTATGTTGTTGTGCTTCGCACACGGAAATGGAAATGCCTTGTATATTGTATAATAATATCTTGTATATTGTATAATAATATCTCTGTACTATGGTATAAAAATTTGCTCTCTCGCCCCCGAACTCAATATATCTTGTATATTGTATAATATCTTGTATTATGTTATATCATTCAGTGGATAATATATAGTAGTATCAATACTGTGTATCCAAGTATAGCAAGCAACATGAACATAGAATGCTAGTAGTAAGTATATATATATATATATATACTTATATATAATTTATATTACAGAGTAGCTAATAGGGAATTATTTTATTTTTTATTAATTTTCTATTTTTAATTTTTAATTCTTATTATTATAATTTTATTATTTATTTTTAGATTCCCTATATTACCCTGCTATTATATATATATGTATATATGTAGGCCTTCAGATCATGCGACTCACGTGCAGTGGCCATGCTTTATTCAAACGATTCTTAGAAACAGTTTTGCTCACATAATCAATCTGGAAGTCGTGACTGACTAGCATGATCTCAGTATAGAGAGATTCCTGGAAACATCAAACACCAAATTAGCCATGTATGGATCACACTATCGTAAACACAACGGCAAAACAATTTCCAACACATGGTGCTAGAATTGGACTACGTCAGATGAGCTAATAAAACAAAAGGTAAAAAATACATGCTCTCAAACGGATCAATTTTAAAGGACAAGATATTTAAAGGATTTTAAAGGACAAGAGTATTTACAGGTATTTGTATATACTACGCTGGAACCCCGCGCCTACGCGCGGGCTTAGTGACTGTGTAGCATGTGTTACCCAGCAAAGTAGTGTTATGTGTTAGGTGTTATATGGAGGCTTAGTTTGTCACCATGTTTTGTTTGTTTTAATGGTCGAGATGTCAATACAATACATGTACAATCTATGCTTACATGAGTTTCATGCCTCAGCACGAGCATAGGTTTCATGCACAGCTGGAGCGATGGTTTCAGGCCTCAGACGGAGCATGAGTTTCATGCTCGCACGGAGTATGTAGTTTCATGCTGAGCTGAGAGCATGAGTTTCATGCTACAGCCCGGAGCATGAGTTACGATGTCAGCCTACGAAGCATGGTTTTCATGTCAGCACGAAGCATGAGCTATGTCATGCCTCAGCACGGAGCATGCAGTTTCATGCTCCGCGACGGAGCATGAGTTTCATAGCCTCCAGCACCGAGCATGAGTTGCATGGGTAAGCACGAGCATGCAGCTTTCTGCTCAGCTGGAGCATGGTTTCATGCTCAGCACGGAGCATTGATTTCTGCTCAGGCCTGGGAGCATGAGTTTCATGTCCCTCAGCACGGAGCTATGACGTTTTAATGCTGATGCACGGAGCATGAGTTTCTGCTGAGCCCGGAGCAGGGATTTATGCTCAGCCTGCGAGATGATTTCTGCTCATGCCTGGAGCTGAGTTTAGCTAGCAGATGCATGAGTTTCATGCTCAGCACGGGCATGAGTTTCGCATGCCTCAGAACGGAGCATGTCGTTTCATGCTCAGCACGGGAAGCAACTGAGTTTCGCATGCTCGCACGAAAGCCATGAGTTTCATGCTCCAGCACAGAGCTTAGTTTCATGCTCAGCATCGGAGAATGAGTTTCCATGCTCAGCCTGGAGCATGAGTTTCATGCCTCAAGCCACCTGAGCATGAGTTTCCATGCTCAGCTGGAGCATGGATTTCATGCTCAAGCACGGAGCATGAGTTTCATGTCAGCACGGAGAATGAGTTTCAGGCTCAGCACGAGCATGAGTTTCAATGTAGCCGAGCATGAGTTTTCATTCTCAGCACAGAGCATGAGTTTTAATGCTCGCTTCGGAGCATGAGTTCAATGCTCAGCACGGAGACATGAGGTCTCATGCTCAGCACAAGAGCATGAGTTTCGATGCCTCAGCAAGAGCTAGTTCATGCTGAAGACGGGCATAGTTCATGCTCAGACGAAGCATGGTTTCATGCTCAGCACGGAGCATGAGTTTCATGCTCAGCACGGAGCATGAGTTTCATGCTCAGCACGGAGCATGAGTTTCATGCTCAGCCACGGAGCATGAGTTTCGATGCTCAGCTGAGCAATGAGTTTTAGATGCTCAGCACGGAGACATGAGTTGTTCCATGCCTCAGCCAGGAGCATAGTTTCATGCTCAGCACGGAGCGATGAGTTTCATGCCTCAGCACGGAGTCATGAGTTTCATGCTGAGCCGAAGCATGGTTTCGATGCTCGCAAGAGCATGAGTTCTATGCTGAGCACGCGAGCATGATTTCATGCTTTTTTTGAGCACGCGAAGCATGGTTTCTGTCTCAGCACGAGAAGATGAGTTTTCGATCGCTCAGCACGGAGCATGATTTCATGGCTCAGCACGGGAGCATGAGTCTCTGTGCGGCTCAGCACGCGAGCATGGTTTTGTGCTCAGCCTGGGCATGAGTTTCATGCTCAGGCACAGAGAATGGAGTTTTCTATGCTCAGCCGCGGAGCATGAGTTTTCATGCTCAGGCCAGAGCATGAGTTCAATGCTCGCACGAGCATGGTGTCGATGCTTCAGCCTGGGCATGAGTTCATGGTCAGCAGGGGCAGTGAGCTTTCATGCTCAGCCTGGGACATGGCTTCCTGCTCAGCACGGAAGCATGAGTTTCATAATGCTCAGCACGGAGCATGGTTTCATGCTCAGCAGAAACCTTACGTGTGCGGTCGATTTTCACTTGAGTTTCATGGTCTCGCCTTATTAGAATTATAATTGAGAATATCTGTCGTGGTTGATATTTTGGTTCCGGGAGGCTGACAACTTCAGCGTGTGCAGGGTATGTGAAGATTCCTGCTCAGTGTGCGGCGCA